CAAGGAGACATTCCTGTCCCTATTCTGCAGATGAGGAAACCGGCTGAGACTCACTGGAGACACGGAGCCAGGGAGTGGCAGAACCAGGTTTCTGGGCCAGGAAGGTCTGTCTGCCCGAGACCGACTGTGGTTCCTGCCGATGACCACGAGTCGGGGAGGGAAGGCATTCAAGCCAGGACAGTGCTCCCCACGCCCTCTCACACCGGCCTGGGGTTTCTGGCTGGCCAGACCACACGAAACCCGAGGATGGGGGCTTTCTCTCGGGAGCCAGCAAGGCTCAGTGTCAGTTCAGGGCCGCCCGTGTGGGTGTCGGCCAGGAGACAAGAAGTCCGTGACGCAGGTAGCCACTCGCTGTGCCTTATCCCCACGGACTGGGGACGCCTTCCTGTCCTTACTCCCCAGCCCGCTCCGCACCTGCCTCTCTGTGACACCTTTATGTCCATGCTGGGACCCTGACTCCTGGTCCTGTGACTCCCGCCCTCGCTCAGTGTTTCCCCGGGGACTTCCGCGCACCAGGCACTGCTCTAGACAGTGAAGAAAACACCTTCAAATCCTCGCTCTGAGGGAACTTCTCTCCAGGGAACCCAGCCCCGGTGCCCACAGCCCTGCAGCCAGCATCTGTCCGTGTCCCTCGCTGAGCTGGGCAGTGAGCCGCAGCTCCCAAGGCCAACGCGACACGGCGTCTGCGGGGTCTCTGGCTGCCACCAGCCCTGCCCAGCCCCGGGGCTCCACGAGCGCCCTCCTGCCCCCGCACCTGCTGTCCCTCAGCCCTGGGCACGCTCCTCTTTCTCCTCCTCTGGGTGTCAGCTCTGGGGACACCTTCTCCAGAGGCCTCCCCTGAGCCCCAGGGCAGGGTTGGGAGCCCTGTCCGGGCTCCTGGGAGCTCCTGCGGGTGCCTCTGCGATGGCACCCACCGCTCGGCATGATAACCACAAGCCCGCTTGGCCCACTCACCTCGGAGACCGGATGTTCCCGGAAAGCGAGGCCTCCGCTGCGGGGTCCACAACACAGGTGCAGGGGGCGGTGCATGTGCACACGAGACCAGGCGGGACGAGGCGGCCCTACCCCCGCCGTGCCTCCCACGTACCTGCCTCATGAGCTCGGGGTTGTTGAGCATGTGGCTGATCTCGGGGTTCCGCTCCATGAGCTGCTGCATCTGCGGGTTCGCCATGATCATGTGGCGCATGAGGTCGGGGTTGGACATCATGTCCTGGACCAGCGGGTTCTCCATGATCTGCGACAGCATCTCGGGGTTGGACATCAGCTGCCTCTGCATCTGCTGCTGCAGCTCCATAAAGTTGGCAGAGCCCAGGCCCAGGCTGCCCAGGCCCAGGATGCCCCCGAAGCCAGCTGCAGGGAGGGGCGGGGTCACCAGCGGCCGAGAGACCCCGCCCCCACCAGGCGGCAGCCAGGGCGGCCACATGCTCAGGGCTCCGGGACCAGCTGCTCCTCCGCTTGTCGCCTCTCCCCTTGTCCGTCCTTCCATCCTCCCCACCCCTGCACCCCCACCCTGCTCCACTGCCCTCCTAGACGGAGACCTCAGACCTCGCTGGTGGCACAGGCTGAGCATTGGGCACAGCGCAGAGAGGGGGTGCCCTGCAGGGGGCCTGCCGAATGAACAACAAACTTCCCCCAACCAGCTGCTGCTGGACCCCCTTGTCCCCCACCCCCGCTCCGATAGCCTCACCCTCCGTGCTCCACACCCCTAGCTGCATTGCCCTCCCTCTTAACGCTCATCCATGCTCCCCTCCTCCAGGAGGCCCCGGGAGGCCAGTTTCTGCCCCAGCTCCACCCAAGTCCCAGTGTCTGGAACCCCAGGCCCAGGGGTCCCTCGCCCCACCAGCCCGGGAGCAGGGACCACACTCCTGCCTCCTCCTGGCTCTCCCTGACTCCCCAGCCCTGGACAGGATAGAGCACTCCTCCCTGAGGGCTTACAGAGTATGGACGCAGCAGCACTGGGGGGTCCCTCCCCAGCCCCCGGGGAGGGCCCCCCCCCACTGCTCCTCCGGCTGCCGCTGCCGGCGTCTGAAGCTGCACTGCCAGAGGTGGACGGCTGGGCGGGGGTGGCGGGCGAGGCAGGCGTGGTGGACGGTGCCGAGGCAGGGTCCGGAGTGGAGGGGGAGGACACAGCGCCCGCAGCTGGGTCTTGAGCCCTGAGGACAAAGTCCTAGCTGAGGTGAACCGGCAAGGGGAGACAGAGTTCCTTTCGGTGCACCTCCTGCCCTAACCTTAGCGGCCTCGGGAACCACAGGTGGTGCTGGGGGCGGGGACGGGGGGTGGGGGGGATCAGGAGGGAGGAACTGGTACCACCTATCTATCTGCCTTGGGGCGTTGCGGAGAGGGAGGTGAGCTTCCTTTCCCCTGCAGGGGAGACCCCAGGGCTGCCTGGCAAGCCCTCTGGGAGCCGCCTTCCTGGGCATCCGCATGGCCCTCCGGGTTCAGGGAGCCACAGGTGAGAGTGAGGCCTGGATGGGGAAGCCCAGTCCGCAGCGGGATCTGCTCCTCTCGGGGACTTACTTCTTCCTTATTTAATTTATTTATTCATTTATTTGAGAGAGAGAGAGAAGGAGCAGGGGGAGAGGCCGAAGGAGAAGCAGGCTCCCCGCCAAGCAGGCAGCCCGATTTGGGACTGATCCCAGGACCCTGGGTCACGACCAGAGCAGAAGGCAGACACTTCACTGACCGCCCCGCGGGCGCCCTGGACTTACTTCTGCGGGGTCTTGATGACCAGGTGGACAGTGAGCCCGTCCTTGATGCCGTGCTGGCTCAGGGTGTCCCCATCCTTGAGGATCTTGCCTGCGAAGATCAGGACCAGCTGATCCTGCTGAGCCTTAAACCTCCTGGAGATCTCCTCTTTGAACTGTGGTCAAGAGGCAGAGGTCACGGCTCAGCCCCCCTGGGTTCCACCCACAGGGACCCTGCCTCTGATCTGGGGAGTCCCCTCCGCAGTCAAGGCCCCATCCACCCAGCGGCCACGAGCAGCTCCCTTGTTAACCTAAGAGACAACCAGGCACAGGTTCCTGTCTCAGCTTAACCCCAGGGTCGTGCGCCCTAGAAGGCCCAGCCAGTTCCCTCTGCCTCCCTCCTCCGCCCCTTCCCCCAGCCCCTGGGGACCATGGCGCTGTGCGCGGGTCTCTCTGTCCCAACTCCTTCGGCAGGCTTGGACCCAGGCCTGCCTCCCTTCAGCCCTCGGTTCTAGACTCCGGGTTCTCCTGCCGTCCAGCCTTCCTGCACCCATCACCGCACTCAGACCCCGGTGATCTCACAGCAGCGAGTCTCTGTCCCGTGAGACAGATAAGAAGTTCCACGTCCACTTTCAGGATGAGGAAACTGGGGATCAGCACAGTTAGGTAACTTGCCCTGGGCGGCCTGGAACTCGGGCGCTGACACCAAAGCCCTGGCTCTTGACCCAACACAGGGCTCTGAGCTAAGCTGATTCGCAACGGAGCTCTGCGGCAGGCGGGCACTGGCATTCTACGGCAGGGGAGGGGGCAGTGATGGCCCCGGAGACTGGCTTGGGAGGGTCGGACTGCCGGGATCTATCAGCTCCCCCCTAGAAACAACCAAACCAGCCTAAACGGGACCCTCTCCGTCCAGAGTGCACTTGCTCCGCGAGGCGGCTGCCAGCTCCCCCCCCTCCAACCGGACGGCCTACCTCACGCCCCGCTTGTGAGAAATCCTGGAGCAGCCACGGGGCGGGGGGCGGCGGACACGGGCCGTGTCCCCTCACTCACTCAACCAACGCGCTTTCACTGAGCACCTACTGCACACCGCAAGCCCCGGAGGGGCCGAGGGCCCGCTGGAACCCCCTCAGCGTGAGGCGGTGGGACGGACGAGCACCGAGGGAAGCGCTCCCCCAGCGCCCGCGCCCTGGCAGCCGGGGCCGCCCCCCGTCCGCTCCCCCGGCGCAGCGCCGAGCCCGAGGCCGGCCGGCCGCGGCCTCCCGACCCCCCGACCGGTCCTCGGGGCGCACGCTGCCCTCAGCCCGCGCGTCCTTGCCCTCCGCGGTGCGAGGCGCCCCCTCCCCGCTCTCCGCCACGCCCCCAGCCCAGGCCACAAGGCGAGACCCGGCCTGGCGTCCGCCGCGCGCGCCTCGTTCCTCCAGCTCCCGCGCGGGACGCCCGCAGCCGCGATCCTGCCCCGCCGCCCCTCCGAGAGCCCGCGGGGCCCCCGCCCTCCCCGCCAGCCGCCTCGGAGCCGCCGCTCTCCCCGCAGACCCCTCCGCCGCCGCCCTCGCCGCGCGCACTACCTCCTTGACGGAGGCTCGATCGCAGATCACAATTTCCTCCTTGTCCTTGGGGGTCTTGACGGTGACCCGAATGGGGGGCCTGGCCTCGGCCCCGCTCGGCTCCGCCATGCCGCCGCCGCCGCCACCCGGCCGCCCGCCAGCCCGTCCCGGCTCCTCCTCCTCCTCCTCCTCCTCCTCCTCCCCGCCCCGCAGCCCGGCCGGCTCGGCTCCGGCCTCCGCCCCTCCGGCCTCCGCCCTCCGGCCTCCGCCCTCCCCTGCCCTGCCCTCCCCTCCCCACGGCCGCGCAGCCCTCCGGACCCGCCGCGCCCACAGCGCCCCGGGCGGCCTGGTGGGGGCACTGCAGCCGGGGCGGGGCGGGCCTCGCGGGCGGGGCGGGGCGGGGCGGGGCAGGGCGCGGCGGGGCGGGCTCCCCGAGACAGCCAGCCGCCGGCCGGACCCGCAGCCTCCGCGGCAACTGCCGCTCCGGGACAAAGCGCCATGTCCCTGTCGCCGCCGCGCCGCCCCGGGCCTCTCCCGACCCGAAGGCTGGGCTGGCCCGCGTCTGGACGTCATCCCAGGTCTCACCTCTAGGACCGACCACGTCCCCGGAGGCCGTGGCCCGCACGAGTCTACTAAGCGCGGTTCCCGGGGCCTTTTGGAGCCTCGGCCCGTCTCACGGGGTCGTGCGTGACGTAGGGAACCGCTCGGGAAAGTAACCGGACGTGTGCCTGACAAAGACTGGGGTTGCTTTTTCGGTTTTTGGTCGTGGACTGTCAAGCGGGCATGCTGACGCTTCTCTCCCCGGGGGGCGGGGACGGGACTGGGCTGTTCAACGACCTTCCGGTCCTGTCACCGTCCTTTCGCTCCCGCTCTTTTCCCCCCAACAACCGCGTGGTCCCCGGGGAAAGGCGAACTACAGTTCCCAGGGTGCGCCGCGAGGCCCCACGGAACTACAACTCCCGGCGCCCCCCGCGGCGGGGCGGCGTTGCGTCGCCTCCCCGGAGTCGGGCCGGGACCTCCGGGTCGCGCGGCGTTCCGGAGCGGCCGGGAGTTCGGGGAGGTGCCCGCGGAGGCCCGCGGGAGGCAGCGCGGGGCCTGGCGCGGAGGCCCGGGCCTGGGAGCCGCAGGCATGCTGCGTCCCAAGGCTCTGACCCAGGTGCTAAGCCAGGCCAACACCGGCGGTGTCCAGAGCACGCTGTGAGTGCGGCCGGAGGGCGCGGAGGGGAGCTGGGGACGGGGCTCGGGGAGGGCCGGGGGCAGAGCGGCCGCGGCCCGCGGGGAGCACCGCGCTCTGCCCGGACCCTGCTTTCTGGACGCGCCCCGGCGGGAGGTGGGGCGAGAGCGCAGGCGTTGTTCTCGCCGCCCGAGCGCGTCCCTGTCGCTTACCGCCGCCCGCCAGGTTGCTGAATAACGAGGGATCCCTGCTGGCCTACTCCGGCTACGGGGACACGGACGCCCGGGTCACCGCGGCCATCGCCAGCAACATCTGGGCCGCCTACGACCGCAACGGGAACCAAGCGTTTAATGAAGACAATCTCAAATTCATCCTCATGGACTGCATGGTATGGAGAAGGGAGCCACTCCCTCTGTCCCCCGAGGGGATCCCCGTGGGGCGACCTCGCTCCCAGCCTGGATGGTTGGAGGGGCAGGGACAGGATCTCCGAGGGTTACTAAGAGCTGGTCTGCTGCAGCTCTGTGGTAGGCAGGACCCCAGGCAGCGTGCGGTGGTGAGCAGGGAGCTGGGGCCCCAGTGTCTGCCTGGGCCTCTGGTCTCTGCTGGCCGCTGGTCAGTCCCGGAGCCCTGCGTGCGTCTGGGAAACTCTCTGAACTTCCTTACCGCGCCTCTAACGCGGCAGTAATACCCCCAACAGGAGCTCGTGCACACGAGCTTGTGAAGATCATGTGAAAGGATATAAACTGGGCAGTGTCGTTACCCCAGAGCCACAGGCTCACGGAAGCACAGCAGAGTCTCCAGACCCTAGGCCCGTTCCTGCAGTTTACAGAAGAAGGAGCTGCAGTCCAGAAAGGGGAAGTAGCCATTAGACTGTGAATTTCCCGGGAACTGTCTCATGCACCTTCGTTTGTTCAGCTAACAGATGTTGAGGTCCCTGTGGTATTCGCGAGCACTAGGGAAAGAGGAGCAAACAGAACCAAAACTGTGGTCCTGACGTCTCACGGCAGCTCAGGGTTTTATGTGTATTATAAAATATGTATGTGAGTCGGAACACTAGGATGTAAGATATCGAAAATGCTACGCGAAACGGAAGTGAGGAGGGCACGTATTCAAGACAATCTCACTGAAAAGATATTTCATTAAAGATCCAAAGGAAGTTGGCCAGCCGTACGGTCCTTTAGGGGAAGAACAGTTCTGACAGAACAGCAGATGCAAAGGCCCTGAGGTGCACTAATGTCTGGTCGAGGATCAACAAGGTTGATGTAGCTCAAGCGGCCTGAGAATGGGGGAGGTGAGTAGGAGGGAGGCCAGAGAGGCAGGGAGTGCTGCCTCTGGGCCCCAAGGCACAGCAGATGCCCAGTGGAAGTGTGCTGAACCAAATTGAAAAGGCCCAGAGTGAACTCTTCCCAAAGGATTTCCACTGTCCTGGGGCTCCCTGCCTCGTCCTCACCCCATGTCCAACCAAGGATGCCATTTCCGTTCTGCTGACGACTCCTGCGTGCTGCCTAACCTCGAATTGGTGCTGTAGGGCCGTAGCTTTCCAACGTCCTGTCTGAGCCCCAGCCGTAAGAAGTACCTGTGAAATCAGAGCCCACACCCCCCCAAATAAGACAAACATGCAGTGTGCTCCGTTACTCTTTTCCATGCCGACCCACCTCCTTAACTGATCGAACCCTAGAGTCAGACGTGCAATTCGAAAGTCTTTACCTTAGGAAAAGAGAACTCTACGTTGGGTTTGCTTGCATGTTCCTCTCGGGGCTTTGGGAGAGACCCGTGATAATGACATCACCCGTCTGGACAGCCCAGGCCAGTTTCAAAACTCCGTCCTGTGTACTAGCACCCTCACCAGCTGGGAGGACACTGGAGTCATGGGAAGAGAAACCAAGTTTCTGCGAGGTCGAGGTTCCTAGGGGAGGTCAGTTAGCAGGGGCTGTGCTGATCCTGGAGTCTGAGCTCAGGACCCCACTTCCAGAGCTGCGGCCAGAGCCCCTCGTCTGAAGCCCTTGCCATGCCCAGGGCATGGAAGGAAGATGATAGGCTCTGAAGAGGGGCCCTTGGGCAAAAGCGAGGGCTAAGGGTGCCAAGCGGAACCTCACATCCCTCCATGTCACCCCCACCAGGAGGGCCGTGTCGCCATCACCCGGGTGGCCAACCTTCTGCTGTGTATGTATGCCAAGGAGACAGTGGGCTTCGGAATGCTCAAGGCCAAGGTGTGTATATGCCCGTCCCTCTGGGCCTGTGGGCCCAGCCTTTGTGCTCTTCACGGCCCACTCCCACCCCACCACCTTCCTGGAGTCCGCTGTGGGCCAGCTCCCAGGAGCGGGGCGGGGAGGGGTGCTCAGCAGCGGGAGTCCCTCCAGCAGCGGACCCCGGGCCGGCCTGACTTCTCCTCCCTTCTTGCAGGCCCAGGCCTTGGTGCGGTACCTGGAGGAACCCCTAACTCAAGTGGCCGCCTCCTAGTGAGCCTCGGCTGAAGCTGGGCTCGGAAAAGAGCAATGACCGTGTGGAGGGGCAGGGCCCACTAGGAACCCTTTCTGGGTGGTCGGGGGAGAGCGAGACTTTGCTTTTTCCAAGAATAAACTTGAACTCCTACCTTGCGTGCTGACTGCTTTCTTGACCCTGGGGAGCCCAGGGAGGTGGGATGGAGCGAGCATTGCTCCGGAGAACCTGCCTTGCACTTGTCCTCTGACAGCGGGGCACTGTGACTGGCTCAGCCCTGCGCTCTGAGCTTCTGGAAGTTCGGCTCCCTGATGGGCATACCTTTGGGAGTGGTCTCGGAGGAGCAGCGGGCTGCTGGGGGGCTGGTGGTGGTTGTGTTGGACGGCAAGAGTATGGGGCCCTGTAAGGCCAGCATTGTTCAGTCCCATGTTGGGGGGGGTGGCTTTTCTGCTCTTGGGGTTGGAAGAGTGTGCACTAGCCGCCTACCAGGGCCCCCCGCTCACACAGACCCTCCAGATCTTGAAGCCCTTTGCAGGCAGGTTGGACCGCAGGTCCTGGGGAGGGAGTCCGAGGCCTCTCAGGGGCCTTCCGTCTCCAGATCCCGCCCTGCGCTCAGCCTCCTCAGCTCGCCTATCTTGTTTCTGCTGCAGGTCTCCCCCTAGCTTGGGTCCTTATAGCGGGTCTGGACAGGGTGCTACCAGCCCCTAGCCGGGCGCCGTTGGAAGGGACCATCCCAGGGGGAAGGTAGGTTGCGAGTCTCAGCCCCACCCTGGGTGAGGAACGTGGCCCATCCCAGGCCCTGGGCTGTCAGGAGGGGCAGAAGTTGCCGTGTCCACAGTGCTGCTCCCAGAGTTCTGAACTGCGGCAGGGTGGATGGCACCCGTCAGCCCCAGCCCCTCACCCCAACAGCCCTTCCCTTGGTGCCCCCAATCACCCCCCAACCAGAGGCGCTGAAGGAAAAGCAGGAGAAGCAGGCTTCTGCCTGAGAGGCCCTTTCTCACTCACTGGTAGCTGCCCAGGTTGGTCCCCGGCCCCAGGAGCCCTAGCACCACGTACTCAGCCCTCAGCTGCTCTCTGAAGGTCCTGTGCCTGTCTCAGCTCCCCCCAGCTCTGTGTCCCCAGCCCCTGGCCCGCCCACTCGCTCGGGCGGGGCGTAGAGAGCAGACACTGAGCCTGCCTAACCTGTCTGACGTCCTCCTCTCTCCGCCCACCTGGGCCGCAGGTCTGGCACCGGCTCTTCCTGTTCTCAGCTTCCTCCTCCCCCTGTCTTCCTTGCAGCACCCCCACCTGCCGGAGCTGAGCCTCCCAGGCCCTCCCCAGCCCCGAGCAGGCCCGCAAGCCCTCTGCCTGCGGAAGTTTCTTCACCCCCCATGAGTGGAGCTGCGGATCCGGGTCTCCGGAGAACCGAGGGTGGAGGGCATTGAGCCGACACGTAGACCTGTCACCTCTGCCCCTGAAGCCACTCGTCCCCTCCATGCAGAGCCAGGATGGGGAACAGAGCTGAGGAAGATTATAACTTTGTCTTCAAGGGTGAGTTGGGGTCCGTAGGGAGCGAGATCTCAGAGCCAGAGCACGTCTCCTGTCTTTTTACCTGTTCCTAGGACCCTCCCGGGCCGTCCTTCCTTCAGAGAGGAGAGCAAGCTGCAGGGAGTCGGGGAGGGTCTGGTTACTGGGACAGAAGTTCTGGAACTGCCGGGGTGCCCTGCTCCTGAAGGGAATGATGTTGGCCACTGCCCTGGTGGGGCCGGGTTAGGTCCCTCTGTTTGGTTGGCGAAGGAAGCCCGAGCCCCTAGGAGCCGTCAAGCGTGGTAGCACAAGAGATGGTCAGACTTCCGAGGGAACTTCCCTCCGGAGAAGAGAGGGAATAACCTGGAGGGGAAGGAAGTCCTGTTTCCGGGTGGACATATGGGCAAGAAGAGAAAGGAGAGCTTTGTCCACTTCGGGGTGAAGGCAGGGAAGATGTGGTAGGTTGAGAGCAGGGTCTGACAGAGCCCGGAAGACTCTGAGGGCTGCGGCCTTGTCTGCTGTCCCTTGGCAGCCCCTTTGGGCCCAAATGCCAGGCATAGGGTCCACTTTGCTGATCCTGGAGGCACACAGGTATCTTTCCTGCTCCTTGACCTTCGCCCCTGCGCAGGACCCCTCAGACCCCAGCCCCCGGCACCCCCACCTCCCTGTCTCCTTCAGGGCGGGGTGGACCATAGAGGCAGCCACCCCACCCCACTGCCTCTCCCAGCCTACGCCCCACCCTCCTGGAAGCTGGGACTCAGGCCACTCCGGTTGGGGTAGCTGTACTCCGGGCCCCTGTTCCAGGAAGGGGAGGCCAGGCGGCGGCTGCCAGTCTGCTGCCCTTCCCCGAGCCCTTCTCTGTGCCAGCCTGGGGTTTGGGAGCCTCCACGACATCCCTAAAACACATCTCTGCTTTTGCAAGCACGGCAGCCAGGGGCCAGACTGAGTCTTCAGATCTCTGCTCCGTCCCTGACTAGCTCGTGCAGGTGGGGGTCTCCGGAAGCAGACACTGAGAAGTCGGGGTACAGGGTGTCGCGGAGGGGGCTGGCGGCTGGGGGCTTGGCCTTCCTCGGAGGCAGACTGGGGCAGCACAGCTCTGTGTTTGCGAGGCTGGCCGTGCTGTCTGGTGCCAGCCCCTCTCCCTCTGGTGCCAGCTTTTCCGCATCTGTGAAAGGGGGTGATCATGATCGCGGTACTGGGGTCATGGCGCCATGCTGGGGACTAGAGGAATCAGTAGTGTCAGGCTTGCAGGACTGTGCCGGCACATAGTAGGCCCTCAGCCGCTGCCACCACCTGGTGTCTCCGATCTGGATGAGGATGAGGGAGGGGGTAGCTGAAACGGTCACAAAGTCGACCCTCAAACCCGAGCGTGTGGGGCTCTAAAGCCCTTGCCCGGAGCACCTTCTGGGCATGAGGGCAGCACGAGGAGCCCGCCCACTGGCAGGGGTGAGCCTGGTGAGCCGGGAGGAGGGTCCCAGCCGGGGGACGGGGGCATGGGGGATCAGGAACACACACACCCCCACCCCCACCCCCACAGTGCTCCCATCCCTCCTCCCGCCCTGCACACCTTCCAGGGGACTTTTTAGATTTTGTAACAAGGAGACCGAGACCTAGAAGAGCTGAGCCACTTGTTCGAGGTCTCTAACGAGTGAGAGGCCAAGTGGGGACCAGTGCCCAGAAAATGTGGCTCCCCGGGCACCAGCCTGGGGGTCCTCCTGTAATCCTGGGGGTCCTCCCAGAATCCCGGGTGTTTGCTCGGGGTGACGCAATTTGTGGGCTGTCCTTGTATCGGCCCCGCACCCCCCAGCAAGCCCCCAGCTCTGCCCCGCGGGTCAAGCTGGGCCCTGGAGGTCGCACGTCAGTCCGGAGGCTCTTCACAGCCCCCGGCAAATCCTGGCCCCTGGAAACACGACGGTGAAAGCGCGGCCGGCCGGCCCCCAACCATCAGCCTGAGCAGTATCTCACTTCTCACAACAATCTAGAAAAGAGATAGTATTTTTATTCCCATGTTTCCTGTGAAAACACATGTCAGGGTAGGCCAGCCCCGTGTTCTTAACTTTGTCCCTCCTTGGGGACAGCTGGATTCTAACTTCTTGTTTTCTTGTTGTTGTTGTTTTTTAAGTTTTATTTGTTTATTTGACAGAGAGAGACAGCGAGAGAGGGAACACAAGCAGGGGGAGTGGCAGAGGGAGAAGCAGGCTTCCCACTGAGCAGGGAGCCCGATGTGGGGCTCGATCCCAGGGCCCTGGGATCATGACCTGAACCGAAGGCAGAGGCTTAACAGACTGGGCCCCTCAGGCGCCCCTCGGATCCTAACTTCTTACCCCCCGAACTTTCCTCCCTCCCCAGATGTGTCGGTGCCGAATGTTCTTCTCCCTGCATTCGTGTTCACATGGCAGCTCCCTCATGCATGCGCGCACATGTGCGCACACACACGTGCACCCGCACACGCACGCACACCTGCACGCCGAGCCTCCCCGTCCTTGCGGCTCATACGCAGGCAGGCACAAAGCCGTCGCACTGCCTAGTCCAGAGACGGGAGCCCTCCCAGACCTACGCCCTGGCCGCATCCACACGCCCTGCCAACCTCATAGCCCTGAGCACCGACACCCAGGAACAGCCGGCGGCCGGCGCCCCTCCGCGGAAGTGCAGGCCGACCAGACCAAGAGCCCTGCCAGGCCTGCAGCCCCCACTCTCGGCCCCTCACCCGGGAGTCTGGAACCCTCCGCCAGGAGGCTGGGCTCCTCCCTCAGTTTCCTGGGCTCCTCCCTCAGTTTCCTGGGCTCGGCCCCGGCTCCCGATGCACGGTGGCCCCCAGCTCAGCCCTGTCTCTCCCTGGCTGACAGTGGTGCTGATCGGCGAGTCGGGCGTGGGGAAGACCAACCTGCTGTCCCGGTTCACACGGAACGAGTTCAGCCAGGACAGCCGCACCACCATCGGGGTCGAGTTCTCCACCCGCACGGTCATGCTGGGTACGGCCGCCATCAAGGCGCAGATCTGGGACACGGCTGGCCTGGAGCGGTACCGAGCCATCACCTCCGCGTGAGCCCCTGGGGCTGGGGGGCGCTGGGGAAGTCCGGGAGTGCCTCTGGAGGACAGGCCGTGGGGCCCTGCGCTCCGTGACCCTACCCCCCTCCCGTGAGCCCAGGTGCGGGTACAGTGGTACCGACTGCCCTAGCCTCTGCTGCGTGCCGGGAGGGGGGTACCAGGCACTCTCCGTCGGGCATGTGGTGTAGTCCTCCAAGCTCCGGAGGACTAAGATGCTGTAATTAATCTCTGCTTAATACAAGAACCCCAAGCTCAAGCAGGGGTGTCAGAGGCACCGGGATGGGGGAGGCTGTGGGATGGATGGAGAAGCGGGCTCACGTCTGCTTCACACTTGGCCATTTCTCGACACACCGGAAGGGCGGACCCCCCCTTCCCCTTGCAGGAGGAACGTGAGGAACGTGCCACTGAAGGTGGGATCCGGGAGGCCGACTTGATCCCGGCCCAGGCGCTCGTGGGTGGACAGCGAGGGCTAACATCGGAACAAAAGACCCAAGGAAATTGTGGCTAGAAAGGCAGGATGGAGGCGGTGGTTTCAGAGAAGGAGGGGCCGCTTTGGAGTCCCCCCTGCCCCACCATACCAGCAACCCAGAAGGGCTCAGTGTCAGGCCCAGAGCCTGGAGACGTGGGTCCCCTGACCTCAGCTTTCATACTTCTCCATCTTCAGTACTCACCTCTGATCTTGCCTCTGCCCCTCTCTCGACGCCCCCAGGTACTATCGTGGCGCGGCGGGGGCCCTGCTGGTATTTGACGTCACTAAGCACCAGACCTACGCTGCGGCGGAGCGCTGGCTGAAGGAGCTCTACGATCACGCCGAGGCCACGATCGCGGTCATGCTCGTGGGCAACAAGAGTGACCTCCAGCAGGCCCGGGAGGTGCCAACAGAAGAGGCCCGAATGTTTGCTGGTGAGAGCCCGCCACCACCAGCCTGGCCCCTCCAGCTCCCACCTCCCCAGCCCCTGCTCTGGGGCCCCAGCCTGGCTTTCCTCCACGGAGCCCCCACGTGCGTCACTTCTTCCTCGCAGTCTCCCAGCCCTTCCTCTCAGTCACCCTGTGTCCCTTATGGTGTCCCACCACTTGCCCCAGGATTGTCTTTATGGGCAATTATTTGTCATTGACTTCACTTTATGTTATTTTTTTTTAAAGATTTTATTTATTTATTTACTTGACAGAGAGAGATCACAAGCAGGGGGAGAGGCAGGCAGAGAGAGAGGAGGAAGCAGGCTCCCCGCGGAGCAGAGAGCCCGACGCGGGGCTCGATCCCAGGACCCTGAGACCATGACCTGAGCCGAAGGCAGCGGCTTAACCCACTGAGCCACCCAGGCGCCCCTGTCATTGACTTTAAAGTGGGCCACTCCACGAGACCCCGGGGTGTGGGAAGTGCGCTCCCCATGACCTTCTCCATTCATGATCTCCCCGGGAGGCCTCTGGGGTCAGAGGCGAGAAGCAGACGGTCAAGGGTACAGGCTTGATGTCCCGCGCCCTCGCCTGGCCGGGCCTTTGTTTAGCTCTCTGTGCCGCTGGCCTTCACCTTCCTCTTGCACGAAACCGGGATCCTATTCAAATCTCCCTGGCAGGTGGTTTCAACCGTGGAATGAGCCGCACATGCCAAGGGGTCAGCACCTTGCAAATGTACCCAGTAAACACAGGGTCAATGTTGTTATTACTGTGTTGCCTTTCCTGCCAGAAAACAATGGGCTGCTCTTCCTGGAGACCTCAGCCCTGGATTCCACCAATGTCGAGTTGGCCTTCCAGACGGTCCTCAAAGGTTAGAGCCCTGCCTCCACTTGGTGGCCCCATTCCGGTCCTGAGGCTTCCGTGGGCAGTGGTTGGAGTGTAGCCCGCCAGCCCTGGCCTACCCCAATGATCCCTCCGCCCCTCCGTGGGTCCCCAGCCTCCTCAGAGCCTCCCCAGCGCCCACCCCACCCCACCCCCAAGCCTGAGGTTTGGGGAGGGAACCAGAAGGCCACATTTCCCACAGAGCTAAGCATTAGCCCTTCTCCACCCAAGTCAGTAGAAGGGACGCAGGTGCCCAAACTCCACTTCCTTCCAGCAAAGCCTCCTTGAAGTGTGGTCACACCCTGTGCTCCGTGAGCCTGCGCCGTGTGTGTAGGGGGAGTGCGGGCTCTCGGTCTTCTGACCCCATCACTGCCCTCCGCACCCCATCAGAGATCTTCACCAAAGTGTCCAAGCAGAGGCAAAGCAGCAGCCGGACCAACGCCATCACTCTAGGCGGTGCCCAGGCTGGGCAAGAGCCGGGCCCAGGTGAGAAGAGGGCCTGTTGCATCAGCCTCTGACCCCGGCCTGCCCCTGCCCGGCCCCCGCTGGCTTTTTGGTGCCCCGCTCCCACCCCGGGTCCAGGATCTCTCCCTGCCCTGTGGTTCCAGATGTCAGAGTGGCCCCACGGAGCTCCACGAGCTTCCCACCCCCCCCACCCCCGTATCTCTATTACCTGTCCCTCCCCAAATCTGCCCCGCCACCACCACACAGATCAAGTCTTCAAATAAAGCTGTGTTTTGTACCAACATCTGGCCAGCCTGCTGCCTCCCATCCCTGCCTCCCCTTCACCTCTGGCCCCTCTGAGCTCCTGTTCCCCTCCCCCACCCCCCAGCCTCCCCACCACACCCACTGCCCCCCAGGGCCAACTGCCTCTGGAGTCCTGTGGTCTGGGGACAGTCCCAAGGGGGAGGGAGGTGCCCACCCTTCCCTCTGCCAACCCCCAGGGCAGGTGGGGGAGGGGGGGCATCATGGCCAAGAAGGGGTATCTGGAAGGAGAGACAAAGGAAATCACCGTCAGGCACCATCTGGTGCCCAGGGCCCTGGTGCCAAGAACTGAGGTCACTCCAATGCCAGGGGTGAGGGGAGGAGGCAGGGGGGGTGTTGAGAGAGGAGGGGTCACAGCCAGCCCTGTCTGTGTGCGCCTGGATGTGGGAGGTCCGAGCCTCCTGCCCCGAATGCAGTCCTGACCCCAGAGAGGGGGGTGTGTGGGGTATGGCGAAGGCCCCACTCCAGTGGGATGACTGGGGAGGGTCTCCCAGCACTTGGTCCTGGGCCTGACCGTCCCCTGCTCTGCAGGACAAGCTGTGCCCTCCACACCCCCCCCAGGACTAGATGGTAAATGGGAAGGAAAGGGAGGGACCTGGAGACTCAAGCAGCGCCCTATGGCGTTTCCCACAAGGGGGCAGGGCCCCCAGAGTCACTTGCCCCCATCCCGGCAATTCCCGAGGTGGCCCCCTCACTCTGCCCCACCACAGGTCAGACCCACACGCGGAGAAAGAGGCCAGGGCCTTAATTAATAATACTTTTAATAAAATTAAGTTCTTAATAGCACATTTAATACAGTAGCCCTCCCCCTTCTTGGTTTCTCTGCGTTTTGTGCAACATCACTTTGACTTGATTATCCATGGGTTCGTTTTGTTTCCTGCCTTTATTTTGCTTCTGAAATATTTTTCCTTGGTGGATTTTTACGTGTCCTCACTAGATGCCTCAAATTAAGTCTGACCACAATCCTACTCTACTTTCTACAGTGGAGACCACCCCCCTGCCCCAGGGCTGTCTCCCCTCCCACCCTACCCCACCCGCACCCTCCAGCGGGAAGGGGAAGCCCTCCCCACCCCAGACTCTACCTTCCCAAACTAGCAGGGTTTCTAGGACAAAAAGAGCAGGGGGGACTCTCCCTAGGTGGGGTGAGAAGAGTAAACTGGGGAGAGGGAGATGTGTTGGGGGCTGAGGGCCGGGGAGGGGCACGACGGAGCCCTCAGGTTTGACGTTGGAGCAGGTCCCCTGTGCTCCCTGGGACGGGAAGGAGGGCTGGCCCTGAGCGGGGCTGGTGGAAGGCAAGTGCTAGAAAACAGGAGGTGATTTCTCACATGCAAAGCCACACTCCCAGGTTTCCTGTGGGGAGGGCGAGATACCCCCAGGCCAGGGCACCGGGGGCCGCCCCGTCTGGAACACTTAGAGCTGCAGGTGGCCTGGAGCACAGGGCTAGGGGCAGTGCCCCCCAACCCAGTCCCTGCTGCCCACCCCCTGCCTTCATACCCCTGGGGGTCCCCATTCTCCCAGGCCTTCAAGGACAGTATCTCCACTGTACCCCAGTGGGTGGAAAGTCCTTCTTGGAGTCTAACTTCTAGGAGCCAAAGCAGGCCCGGAGAAAAAGCCATGACTGAGATTGTTAATCCCACGGAGGCCAAAAACTAAGTGGGATACCGGGTGGGAGCGAGGACAGGGGCCTGACCCCCAGCCCTCATGAAGCCCCAGGAAGGTGGGGTGTGTGCGTGTCTGTTTCTAGAATGACCCACCAGGCTCTTGAATCAATTCCCCGCGGGGTGAATCGAGGCTACACTTTAAGAAGGACTTCCTCGGGCCTGGGAGAAGCAGGTCCGGGAGGGTCTGAGCTGGGAAGCCTCCACCCTCCCCGAGAGCCCCCAGAAGACACAGCACTTAGGAGTAAGGACTGCTCTGCAGAGACCTGGGAACGGACAGGGTGGTGGGCCCCCAGGGGCAAGGGCACAGGTGAAGGCGCTCACCTTCCCCTCCGCCCCCCGCCGGCCCAGCTCCCATGTAGTTGAAATGGATCAGTGTCCATCTTTCAAAGACCCAGGGGACGGAGCCCCTCATCTGTTTGTCCTACAATTTAAAAATCCAAGGATTCTCAGAATCAACCCCAGCAGACCAGAAGCTCCGAGCTCAGCTAGCGGCCGGCTCCTGCCTGGTATCTGGAGATGGGGTTCCCCACATGCAGGGTGCACTTGACCGCGTCCCTCATCTACTTTCCTTTCGTTACAACTTTTATACATTCTACTGGACCCAGGGGCCCTCGATGCTACTAAACTTTAAGCTATCTGAATATCGTCTACTAAGTAACTAGTAATTCTTTCTTTTTCTCTAGGATTATATGAAATAAATTTGAATTATTATTATTAATAATTATTATTTTGTAGTATTCTTTTCTTTTAAACCCCTCGGTTTCTTTCTTTTTCTTCTCTCTCTCTCTCTCTCTCTCATTTTTGGTTAAACAAAACAAAACAAAACAAAACTAGTTCTCTTAAATCTCGCACCTCTCTGAGGGTTCCCGCAGGCCTGCTAGGCCTCAGCTCTGGACTTCCCCTCCCCACTCGCCCCTGGGACAGGGCAGGGGAGGGGGGGGGCAGCCCAGGATCCTCAGTCCGAGCGCTCTTCCTTTCTTGTTAATCCCTTTCTTTGTTTGGCTCTGCCGGCTCCCCTGAGGGGGAGGGGAGCGGGGAGGGGGGCCCATGGAGTGAAATCCAATCTACTCGGGGCCCCAGAGGGACCAGGTTCCCCCAGGCCCCCCATCTCCACCACACATCCCAGGACGCTCCCCACAAAAAGCAAATGACATTCCTCCCCAAATAAAAGTGGGGGAAAAAAGGAACGTAAACCCGAACATATATTAAAAACACTTTTTTTTTAAGATTTAACTCTGAATACAAATGTATTTTTTTTTCTTCTTCTCTCCCTACATATATTCTAAACCTTCTAAAGTTTTTTTATTTTTTTTAAGGATCACTTTATCATAAAATAAAATATCCTTTTCATATAATAAATTACCTAATAAAAAGTCTTTTTTTCATATTAGCCCAGGTTCTTTGCTACATTTATACGGTAATAAACGCCTTTATTAAAATAGAATATTAAATTATAAAGAACTGCTTTTTTTTTTTTTTTTGCTATTTTTGTTTTGTCTCCTCTGTGTTGTTTGCCTATCTCGCTCCCTCTCGCGCTCTTTCTCTCCTCTGTTTTGTCTCTCACTATGTGTGTTTTGCGTTGGTTTCTAGGTTTGGCTCAATTAGTCAGGGCGGGACTTAATTTTCTGAGCCCCCTAGCCTAACAGTCTTCTGCCTTTGTGGGTAAGAAGTGGAGAGGGGGAGGGGACCGACAGACAGACATCCCTTCTTCCCACCCCCCTCCCCACCCCCCTCGGCGACCGACAGGCCGAGAGCACCCATTTGGTTTGGTTTCTATTGTACACACATCTCGGGATGGCTCACATTGGCGGGAAGGAGGGAAGCTGTCACAGGCCACTTTCCTGACTGTGACCTCCTTCCTCTCCCCTCCCTGGCTGGTGGTCTGGAGGGGCAGGCTGAGGAGAGGTGAGTGAATTCACAACAGGAGGAAGGAGTGGCGGAAATCCCCCCCGTACCTCCATCCCTGCACCCCCTCTCCATCAGACAGAATGGGACTCCCCGAGCCCAAGTGCTCAGAGATCACCTAGGACAGTCCCACCCCACTATATACAAGAATCACCTGGGACCCCCCCCAGGGACTCCCATCCCCCACCCTCTCCTGGCCCGGCCAGCGGAACCAGGAGGGTGGGAGGCTGGAGGCAGCCCCAAGTGAGCCTTAGGGAAGCAGTGGGGGTGGGGGGTGGGGTCCTAGGCTTGTTAGCAATACCGGACCAGAATGTCGCACCCCAGTCCCGCCTGGTCCAGGACTGAACTCTCTCTGAAGCCCCAGCCTCTCCCCACAACCACAATGGGTGGGACAGAGACTTCATGATTTGCTCGCTAATAGGGGTTTGGGTCAGGTCCAGAGAGGGGGCGCAGGCCCTGGGAGCGGCAGGGGGAGGAGCAGCCCCTCCGTGCACCAGCCTCTCCACCTGCCTCAGGCTCCTTCCTGTCCCTTCAATAGCAGACACGCGACCCTGTCTCTCCTCTGCCTGCCGCCAGAAGATCCAGCCCAAGAACTGCTCCCTAAATACAATGCCCAAAGATGGTAGAGGCAGAGGTTTGACCCCTGATGTACCCCAATATTAGTCCCCTCCTCAAATTTTCACTGAGAATGGGGATACATTCTATCAAGAATTCGAGGTGTTTCTTTGGAGGAGTGGGGAGGGCCTCCAGGTGCCAGAAGAGGAATTAAGGGGGGGTTCATCCAAATGCTCTTCTCCCCTATTTCTTCCCCAGGGGATGGTGAGCCCAAAGCTGGACTAGAAGGGGCAGGAAGGAGGGGGGAGAAGGGAAGAAAGAGACAGAGGAGGACAGAGCTGGGGACGACAGCCCTCAAGGGGAAGCAAAGAGGAGAGCTGGCGGGAGGAGGAGAGGAGAGGAGAGGACAGCCCAAGGGGAGGAGAGATGGGGAAGAGAGGGTGAGAGGAGCTTGCTCTCCACACCCCTCCATCCAGCTCTGTGGGGAGATGAGCTCTGAGCCCTTTATGGATGGACATGCCTCCCCTCCAACCCCAGGGAATCTGTGCAGACTTCTGAAAGGGCCCCAACTCCCTCAGACCACTGGAAACCCAGGAGCAGATGCCCAAACAGGGATATGGCAGTTGGGGGGTGGTGGTGGGGGGGGTCTAAAGGGTCACATAAGGAGGTCAAAGGTCAAGGCCAGAGAGGGTTGGAGGGCTGGAAAGAGCACCTCCAGATGGTAATTCTCCCCCTCCCTTTCCCCAATCTCCTCCAGAGAGGAAGGGGTGGTGTGGTGCAGATGGGGGGCTGGGCAGAGGGGGTCAGAATGCCTTAGCGGCCCCCTCTAGCCAAACAAAACTTTCTCGTAGCTGCTTCCAGATAGAAGGGTGTGTTGAGGTATCAGAGTTGTAACTCTAGTAAAATTTCCTGCCTGGCCCCCTCCCAACCTTTCCAGGACGGGGTGGCCAGAGGCTCTGAAGGTGGCCCACCCCACCCCACCCCAGCCACCGTCGCCTCCCCGCCCCCTCCCCACGGATCGAGTACGTCTAAGCACCTTGCCCACTGAGCCCACTGATTTCCAAAAGGCCCGGGTGGAAAACAGATCCAGGGCAGGGGGTGGAGGTGGGGGCGCCCTCGGCCCAGGGAGGGAGCCCGGAGGCCCGGGGCAGGAGGCTTAGGAGAATATTCGGATGGCTTGCGTGGCTGTGATGTGGCAGACGGGACACTCCGGGTCCGTCCTCTCGCAGATGCGTACTGCGCACTCCATGCAGAAGAGGTTGTGTCCGCAGGGGACCAGGGCGGCGGTCACCTCGCTCTCGAAGCACACCATGCAGTCCCGCCCGCCGCCGGGGCTCCGCAGGCCGCCGCCCAGTTTGGAGAAGCCCTGCAGCGGCTCCCCCGGCGGGCGTCTGGGCAGGCCGGCCAGCTCGGGCCCCGCGGAGGCGGCGGGGGAGCGGTGCGCCCCCGGGGGCGCGGCGCGGGCCTTGGCGGACGACGACGACGACGAGGAGGCGGAGGAGAAGAGCACCGAGGTGGGCGTGGCGTTCTCCTGGCCCGCCCAGAGCGGGGGGCTGGTCTCGGCCACGCCGTAGTACACGTCCTGCTTGCCCACGCCGTAGCCCGGGAACAGGTAGCCGCCGTAGCCGAAGTCCCCGCCCTGCTCGCCCAGGCGCGGCGCCTCGAAGCCCGAGTCCACGGCGCAGTCGCCGATGCAGCCCAGGCTGTTCTGGCGGAAGGTGGAGAGCGGCTTGCAGCCGGGCGGGTGCACACGCCAGGCCTCGGAGTAGCGGCTGTCCAGCCCGGCGTCGGGGCTCCCCGCCAGGAAGTCGTTCTCGTTGTTGTACTCGAGGATCTTGCCGGTGCGCACGGCGATGTGCGTCTCGATCTCCTCGCGCGCGCGCTCCACGTTCCCCGGCGCCCCCGTGATCTCGAACACCGGGTCGCGGTCGCGGCTCGGCGTGATGATGTACGTGTTGGTCTGCTGCTGGATGCGCTTGATGGTGGCCCCCTTGGGGCCCACCACCAGCCCCACCACGCGGTAGGGCACCCGCACGCGAATGGTCACCTGGCCGGGCAGGGCGGGAGCCACGCCAAAGGCGGCGCCGGACTTGTTGCGTGAGGCGCGGATCATGGAGAAGTGCTCGGCCGCCGAGATGATCTCCCGTCGGGCTGTGGCCACGTCCTCCCGCCGTCCGGTCACCATGAACACGGGCTCCTCGCCGCGCACCGGCGTCTTGATGTACGTATTGGTCTTGGCCCTCAGAGCCTTAATCTTGCAGCCTGGGATGCGGGGGGGGGGGGGGGGGAAGTGCAGAGAGAAGGAAACTCACAGGGCAAGAAGGTCTGCGCCGGGGCCAGTCCGCTCCCCCATCGCCACCCCGAGACTCCCGGCCGCGGGGGCGAGCGCACCCCGCCTCCAGCAGTCCGCCCAGCGCCTCTCGGATCTCCGCCACGTCAACCACAGATTTCCAAATGTGCCAGCCTTCCCTCCGGCTCCATGCAGGACCCTCCCAACCCAATCACTCCTTGCAACCAGGAAAAAAACCACTGACCCTCCCAGACAAGCTGCTAACCTCAAAACGACTAACTCCACCCAACCATGTGCCCTGCCCTCAATTTCTCTGATTCCACTCAAACTTCCAGATCACTTCCTCACACACCCCTCCCTCCCACCACCGAAGCCTGTCACTGACCTTGAGCTTTCCACAGAACCCCAAAGTACTCAAAAACCCCACAATCTACTCCTGACTTGAGCTCCATTCATTAAAAGTGTCCTCCGGTCTACTCAGGGACCACTGGCACCCATTTGCTGTGTGACCTATGACCCCTTCCCATGCCTTCCACCCATGAATGCCTCTCAGAGGGCCCCAGATTCACAGCAAGTTTGCAGCAGCTAGCTGAGTGTGGGAGACTGGGAAGGGTCTGAGAACCAGAGTTTCGAGAGGCAAAGAAGTATGAAGATGCCGAGAATGATGTCTGAGGGCCCACCCCTGACCCCCCATGGACACTCCGGCCACTCTGTCCGCTGGGGGCAGGGGAGCCGAGCCGGGCTGGGGACTGAGGCATTGGGGGGACCCATCCTCGTGCTCTGAAGCAGGAGTGGGTTCCAGCTCTAAGACTGCAGGGAGAGGCAGGAAGAGAAAGAAGAAAGCCAAGACAAAGAGAGACAAAGAGGGAGAAGGGGAAGAGAAGAGTCAGGGAGGCTGGCACCGCCACGGCATCTCTCGAGGCTGCGGTCACACTATGGCCGACGGGCGGGCCCCTCTCCTCCTCTCCCAAGTTCCCTCTCCCTGCCCCGAGCTTCACACACAGCCAGGCTAACGCGCTTTCTCGGGGCACACATGCTACACGTGTGTGAGTTCGCACACACATGGACCTAAGAGTCACGATGCACTGTGTGCCTTTATCTAAACAGTACTGGCAGTGCACACCCAGGGTGCACACGCGTGCACATGCACGTGCACACACGTGCCACAACACACACACACGCACACGGATGGCCTGTGTTTGACCTTCCATACACCCCACGCTCCAACCTCCAACATCCCCAGCCCTCAAAGGGCACACTCCTCTACACACCCACAACTTTTGCCCCCCAGGCACCTGCACACATGTTCACACCCCTCTCCAGGTACACACGCCCTGACCCCTTTCTCATCCCCCCACCACATGACCTCTTCCCCCCAAAACCAATGCCAGCCGTCCGGGCCCCGGGCCTCCAGCCCCAGGCCTGCGATGAGCTCACAGGCTTCTTCTCTAACCACCGCCCCCCCAATGGCGGGGGGTGGGGGGGGACGGAGTGGATTGGGGGCGGAGCTCCTCACCTTCAAGAGACCTCAGGAAGGAGAATTTGCTCCTCCTTTTGTCTTCAGACCTCTTGGCAGGTGAGAAGTCCTACCTGTTGTCAAGCCCACATCCTTGCTGCTTTAATGCAGTCAGTGTTCATCCTAAGTGTGAAGCACCAAGGGGTGAGGAACCTTGACTCCTCCTACGACTCTCTACTCCCACGACCTCTGAGAGGCACCTGGGTGCTGGCTCTAAGTTCTGGGTCCATCAACTTAAGTGGGAGCTGGGTATCTTCGGGGGTTGGGGTGAGGCAGACAGGCGCGGCCCGGAGGTGCAGAACGGGTGGACCTCACCCTGGGGTCTGGAGCCCTGGACAAACACGTCTGGAAGGGAAGGCCACGGGACTTCACCTTTCTAGAGGTCAGAAAGAGGCGTGCTGGCACTGCAGCAGGGGAGGGAGGTTAGACAAGAGGAAGGACTTCCACGTACTTAAGGACCAAGGGGAAGCCTCTTTTCTTAGAATAGGAGAAATGCCCCCACTTGTAAGAGAGACAGGCCCATGTGCTGAGAGGCATAAGGATGACTCCATGAAATCCTGGGGCCTCCCAAGGCCAGCCGCCCAAGGGAAGATATCAGTGTCCCCACCCAGTTCCAGGGCTCCGGGTCCCTAGTTTCTGGCAACAAGAGGAGATCCAACTTTTTGAACCAGAAATCTCAGGAGATGGAGCACCCCAGAGGGATGAGGGCCATGCACGGGGAGTGGTATCTTCCCTTCCTCCATTCTGGATCTCACTGCAAAATGCCTCCAACCCCCAAGCACTTCGGGGAGATGAGACGGGGTGTGCTGTTGGGGGGGTGCCCCCCTGGCTCGCTTCCCCTCTCCCCCCGGCCTGCCGGCAGCAGGCCTCCTCCCTCACTCCCAGCCGGAATGCAGCCCCTCTATTGTTCCCCACTGTGGGACAGCTCCTCCCCCGCTCCTCCCCCACCCCAGACCTCCCCAGCCCAGCCCTC